TACCGCTTGTGGCGGCACGGCCCCTGCACCCCCTGGAAGGGGTACCGCGCCTCGGTGGTACCGTAGTAATCCGACAGGTACCACAGCGCGTCGTCTGCGGCAGGGCAAAGGAGACGTAACACAGGCGCGGCGTGTGAGCCAGCGCGGGTGAGCGTCCCTGCGCTTGCCGTGCTCCAGCTGCAAGACTGCAACCGTGGCCCCGGGATCCCCAGCCCTGCCGCAGCCCCAGCCCTGCCCGCCTGCGGCCCCAGCGCCCCCAGCGCCCGCGGCGCCTACCCGAGTACCCGCTCTCGCATCCCAGGCTCCAATAGTCAAGGGTGCCAGACTTGGCGCAGTCCACCAGCTGGAGCCAGGCAGGTGGGGGCAGGGAGGCGGATGCAGGGGGTGAGGTATGCACCAAAACAGGCCAGGGCAGGCAGCCCCGGCGGCGCGCCCGCCGGTTAAGGCAGCGCCACCCGTGCCGTGCCGTGCCTACTGCTGCACCACCATCAAGGCCGCCCCAGCCGCGCACCTGCTGCTCCGACAGGTCCAGGGTGCTGATGTCTGTGGCGGTGCCCAGGATCAACGCCTTAGCCTCCACCGCGGCGATGGCGGCAAACGCCCTGCGGGGGGAGGGCGGCCAGCAGCGGCGGGGCGCCGGGGTGGGGGGCGAGGGCGCAAGCAGAGCGCGACCCTTCCCCGCAGCTGCCTGCATCAGCGGCGGCGACAGTCACAGCGGGCGGCTGCTGGCATCATCACGCCAGCGACGCCCTGCGCCGCCCTACAGCGGCCGCGCTCACCAGCAGGCGCCGCAGCCTCCCTGGTCACGAATGGGCAGATCCTGCGGTGCCAGGCGGGCGCCAGGCGGGCGCAGCAAAAGCTGGTCGACACGCGGCGGGCCGGGTCGCACGAGCAGCGGCAGCGGCACACGACACACGGCAGGCACTCGCAACCGCCGCTCGCCCTGCTGCCACCGCCCCGCCAGCTCGCCTCACCACGCCCTGCGTGCGCCAGTCCAGCGCGGCCGGCGGATCTGCCAGCAGGCGGCGGCTGCCGCCGCCTGGCACCGGCACGCGCCCCGCCAGCTCAGCGGGGTCCTTGGGCGTCATCAGCCACTTGGAGGAGAACTCCCGGAAGCTCAGCTCGCTGCGGTGGGGAGGCAGGGGAGCGGAGCAGGGAGGCAGGGGCAGGGAGGCAGAGGGCAATGGCGGCGAGTGAGCGCGGAGATGCCGCTTGACAGCTGGCGCCGCCGGCGGGGGAGTTGGGAGGCGCAGGGCCGCGAAGGGAAGGAGCCCACAGGGCGTTTGTCGCAAGGGCTGTGGGCTGCGCGCATGGCCGCACCTGAAGCGGTTGAGGCCCTTGAAGCTGTACACGGCGGCCTTGTTGTGCTCAATGACGGCATCCAGCCTGGCGCTCCACTTGGAGAACTTGAGGTTGTCCTGCGGCAGGCGGGCGGCCGGGCGCAGCTCTCAGTCGCCAAGCGCCGAGCGCGGCGCCGGCGAACGGGACAGTGTGGCGGGGGTGCCCGGCTTGAACGTTCCCACTTTGCCAAGAATG